AGCACCTTCATCGCCGAGGGGGTGAGTCCCCCCCACCTTGATGTCCCCTTCGATGTCCCCAAGTGTCCCCACGTGTCCCCAAGTGCCACCAAGTGTCCCCATGTGTCCCCAAGTGCCACCAACTCGTCCCCATCATCACGACGTGGGATGGGAGCCACCACCTCCCCCTGCGTCCCCACCTGGGGCTGTCCCCGTGTCCCCTTGTGTGTCACCCCTTTCCATGTCCCCAAGTGTCCCTCCACGTCCCCAAGTGCCACCAGGTGTCCCCAAGTGCCACCAGGTGTCCCCAACGTCCCCGATGTCCCCTCTGTCCCCAGGTCCACGTCAACGTGGTGTAGAACGTGGCTCCTTGTGTCCCTCCACATCCTTCACGTGTCCTCCATGTCCCTCCTGTGTCCCCCCACAGTGTCCCCAAGTGCCACCAGGTGTCCCCAACCACCCCCGGCCACCCTCCCGTGTCCCCAAGGTGTCCCCTGATGTCCCCAAGAGCCACCAACTCATCTCCATCATCATGACGTGGGTCAGGAGCCACCAGTTCTCCCCTTGTCCCCACCTGGGTCTATCTCCACGTCCATCCCACATGTCACCCATGTCCCCAAGATGTCCCCAAGGTGTCCCCAAGTGTCTCCTGATGTCCCCAAGGTGTCCCCAAGTGCCACCAACTCATCTCCATCATCATGACGTGGGTCAGGAGCCACCAGCTCTCCCCGTGTCCCCAACTGGGTCTATCTCCACGACCCTCCCACGTGTCACCCATGTCCCCAACGTGTCCTCAAGATGTCCCCAAGTGTCTCCTGATGTCCCCAAGGTGTCCCCTGATGTCCCCAAGTGCCACCAACTCATCTCCATCATCAGGACATGGGTCAGGAGCCACCAGCTCTGCCCGTGTCCCCACCTGGGTCTACTTCCACATCCATCCCACGTGTCACCCATGTCCCCAAGGTGTCCCTTGATGTCCCTAAGTGTCTCCTGATGTCCCCAAGGTGTCCCCAAGGTGTCCCCTGATGTCCCCAAGGTGTCCCCTGGTGTCCCCACAGCTTCACGAGCTGATCCCTGCGGTGATGACGTGCATCGTGAGCCGCCAGCTCTGCCTCCGCCCCGACGTGGACAATCACTGGGCCCTCCGGGACTTCGCCGCCCGCCTGGTGGCCCAAGTCTGCAAGAACTTCAGCACCACCACCAACAACATCCAGTCCCGCATCACCAAGACCTTCACCAAGGTGTGGGGCAGGCTATGGGGCAGGGATGTGGGGCTGGAGATGCGGGATACGGGGTTGGGACATGGGGACGGGGACGTTGGGTGGGGATATGGACGTGAGATGGGTGGCAAGAACTTCCAACAACGTCCAGTCCCGCATCAGCAAGACCTTCACCAAGGTGTGGGGTGGGGATGTGGGGCTGGGGATGTGAGATAT